TCCTAAGGCGATTTTCTTGAGCTTAGAACAGAAAAGCTATCCGGCCCTCAAAGGATGAGAACGCTGACAGCACTGAAGGCCTAATTCTGTATAACTCATGTGCCATACCAATAACTCATCTCCAGAACACAACTCCATGGGTCCCATGTTGTGCACCCATGACCACAACCCCTTTTCCTCTCTCTCTCTCTCTCTCTCTCTCTCTCTCTCTCTCTCTCTCTCTCGACGGAGTCACTCTTGTCATTCAGACTGGAGTGCAGTGGCACGATCTCGGCTCACTGCAACCTCCACCTCCCGGGTTCAAGCGATTCTCCTGCCGCAGCCTCCCGAGTAGCTGGGAGTACAGACACATGCCCAGCTAATTTTTGCATTTTTAGTAGAGATGGGGTTTCACCATGTTGGCCAGGATGGTTTCGATCTCTTGACCTCGTGATCCACCCCCCTTGGCCTCCCAAAGTGCTGCGATTACAGGCATGAGCCACCACACCCGGCCCTCCCTTTTCCTCTCTAAAAAGAAAGCCGCCAGTCGCCGTGGCTCACGCCTGGAATCCTAACACTTTGGGAGGCTGAGGTGGGTGGATCACCTGAGGTCAGGAGTTCAAGACCAGCCTGGCCATCATGGTGAAATCCCATCTTTAAAATTTATATATATATATATGTATAAAGCCATACCATTCACAGCCACTCTCAGGCCCCACTTTGCCCCAGACTCTCATCTGCTTTCTTTCTCTATAAATTTGACTATTTCTGAACAGTTCACATGAATGAAATCGTATGATGTGTGATCTTTTGTAACTGGTGTCTTGCACTTAGCATGTTTTCAAGGCCCATCCGTGTTGTAGCATGAATCAGTCCCTCATTCCTTCTATTGGCAAATGGTATTCCGTGGTATGGATATATTACAGTTCACTTATGCCTCTGTGGGTTGGTAGACATTTGGGTTGTTTCCACTTCTTGGCTCTTGTGAATAATGCTTCTATGAGCATTCGGGTGTACGTTTTTGTGTGGAATATGATTTCAATTCTTTTGGCTATATACCTTGGAGCGGAGTTGCTGGGTTATACGGTACTAACATTTTCAGGAACTGTCAAAGACCTAATTTTAGATTTTGGGAAGAGGAATGTGGAGCCTGTTCAAAAAGCAACTGCACAAATCTGCAAGGACACTGGATAGATGACCTCCCAGACATCTTAGGAGAATCTACTAGGTGAGAGGAACTGCTCCCGATATGGAAAGGAAGGAGACAGAACACAGGGGTGGGGGGGGGGGAGGGCTTGAGCCTGTAAGGACCCCCTTCTTCTCAGTGAAAAGGGAGACAGACATTCCAACTCCAAGCTATAACCCGTTACAGATGTTTCAACACAGAGAGTGCAGAAATCCACAGGAACAGCCCAGAAGCTCATGGAGCTGGGGACTTTGATGAGGACATGGAGAGGAGCTTGCCAGCTGAACTAATATTTGCCTTCACCTCCAAGCGATTTTGTGTTTTGGCAGCAAGTTGGAGAAGAGCCTTCTGGGAAGAGAGAGCAGCTTGGGCTAAAGCCCAGCCACGTGGGAGTGTTCGATGTATTTGGCAGTGATGAGAGGAGGAGGGCAGGAGCTGGGGGAGACAGGCTTGGAAGGGTAAACTGAGCCATGACTTCAGTGCTACGCTAGGGAGCTTGGACTTGAACCTATATGTGCTGAGTGTCACTCATGGACTTGAGGTTGGGCAAGGTGGACAGCTTGTGTCCTGGAGCCACGGCCTTGGAGGTGGTAAGGGAAGGAGGCCTGAAGAGGGAGTCTTTGGGGGGTTGCTGCTGTCAGGAGAGAGAGACCACGAAGAACTGAGAGTATACCTGGGAGGGAAGGAGAGGGAGGGAGGAGAAAACAGAGGGGAATGTCCTCGAAACTGCATAAAAGGTGGAGGATAGGGAGGCGGAGGGGAGAGCCACCTGGATTCATCAATATTTTAGGTACTTTGTGCAGGGAGAAAAAAATGACATTGTCAATGACATTGACAGCACCAGGGCATATACAGCCCTTAAATGCTTTAACTGCATGGTTGTTTTACTCAATTGAGTCCCAAGAAGTTAGCTTCAGAAGAAAACTCAGAACCTGTGGGAGGTTTGCAGCTTCTCTTGGATTGGGACAAAGCCTTAGCTCTGTCTTGATGCCTCGACTGGAGCGCCCGTCCTGTAGCAGCTGCCCAGGAAGGCCTCCATCCTGGCACACACACCATCCATGTCCAGCAACACGTGTGCAAACCCCTCCCAGCTCCCCCTTGCTGGCACTGTAAAGCCCACCTCAGCATCAGCAGAAGTATGGAAAAGGAAACGCTTGTCTCCAGGAGCCATCCTTTTCCTTCCTCCTTTCCTCATTTCTGTTTCTGTGTTTCTTCGTTTCCCTTTTCCTCTGTCACACCCAGAGCTCTCCAGCTGCCTGGTGCTCTGGAAGGACCCGTTCCCAGGGTAGCATCGTGTCTCCTCCAGAATTAAGGCCCTGGCACAGGCTGGTGGATCACAGAAAGGGCCCCATGTCTCAAGGGATAAGAGGATAAAACATCCCCAAAGGATGGATGGAGGCTGAAAATCTGGATAGAGTGCTACATAGAGTGCAAGTCAGGGAGTACCTCCAGGACGCCGAGTCCCTAGCTTAAGCCCCTAAGCTTACGTAAGGACACGACTTACCTAAATGTCCTTGAGAGTCAAGGGCATGGTCAGGCAGAACTGCTAAAGCAAAGGCTTTGAAGTGGGAAAGAGCATGAAGAATTTGGCGAGGGTGAATAACTGGCACAGGTGTAGGCAGTTCCCCCGCCTAGATATATCTGCATGGCACTTGCTTCTGAAGGATTTCTTGGAATTCCCCCAGACTGCAGAGGTGGTCAGATATAAGCATGGCCCTGGTCCCCATCCAAGCATTGCTCCTTATTGCCAGAGTGTGACAGGCTTGGCAGCCTGTGGCGACAAGGGCCAAGGCTGAGCCGTACACACAGGATGATCCTGCTCTTCCTGTGTGTCTTTTGCCCCAGAAAACTAACAGTGGTCTAGCTGTGGTGTACAATTGTGTTCAGATGTGCTCACATCCTCAGGGGAGTTGGATCCTTTCATAATTCTACAAATTGTGAAATGTTTAGACATTAGGAAACCAAAGAGAGTTGACCTATAATTAGAGAATAATAGCGCATTTAAAATAGCTAATGGGTTACGCATTACTGTTCTCTAAGTCGATAGTAAAAATCCCCATTAAAAAAACAGGAGGTCAAGGTTCTCTGACTCATCTATAAGTGATTTCTCATCATTTCAAAATAAAGGTTAAGTACGTTAAAGCTGAGCTGAATGTGGGCTTCCAATCCAAAATTTATTTTTAGCCTTATTGTGTCCAGTTGACTAATGGCTCAGAGCCAAGAGCAATTTAATCAATGTTTATATCCACTTTAAACATCACTAACAATTGTGTGGTGGTAGACTGTTACAGCCATGGCCTCCAGTGAGCAGTGTCCCTGTGTCCTCACTCCTTTGCAATGTGACTTTGCTGCTTCTCCCTAAATCAGAAGGTGGGACCTATTTCTCTACCCCTTGACTCTGGGTTGGCCTTGAGACTTGTTGTAGCCAGTAAAATGCAGCAGAAGTGACACTGTGAAGCCTTCAAGAATAGGCCTTGTGGAGTATTGTAAATTACATTTTTAATCCCTTGGAATACCCAGAGTCCACTGGATGAGAGGAGAAGCCCAGCTGGCGGCTGTACCAAGGCCCCAGACATATGAATGGCGCCATCTGGACCCTCCGCCTCAGTGAGCCCACAGGAGACCAGCAGAGTCGTGAGGAGCAATACTTTTTGTTTTAAGCCACTAAGGTTTAGGGACATTTGTTCTGCAGCAGTAGGTAATTAAAGCAAATAGTATCCTAAATGGTGACAGAATGGATTCGTTTTCCTGTAAAAATAGACTTCATCTCTAAAAAGAAATGAGATGTGGAAAGTAGAAAAGTTCTTTTTCAAAGTTTCTTTCTTGTTAAAGAATAATAATAATAAATGTTAGAAATAATAGTCTCTTTTAAAGACTAACTTTCTTCAAAGACTTCTTGCTTTTTACTAGTGACTCTTTGTTAAGCCCTGTCCTATGCAGCTGCTAGATATAAAGGAATAAGTACATTCTATGTCCTTATTCTTTAACCAAGATATTTGTGTTATTACTTTTCTAAATCCTTTTGCAAGCAACTTCCTGTCCCTTCTTTATTTAGACTTCCTCTTTTCCTTTGTTCTCCATTGCTTTTACCTGTTTAGAAAAGCTTTCAGTTGTTAGCCAATCAGGTTTTAGTTTAGATTGTGAGGTCTGTCTCCAACCATTGTAGATCAGACACAGCAGTAAGGATGACCCCAAATGCTCAAAGGATAAAAATATCTGCTTTTCCTTTGTCCCTTGTACTCTCATGGCAAGATGGTTAACCGGAGTACCCTTTCTGCAGAAAGTAAAGATTGCCTTGCTAAGAGATCCTTTGTCTCAGTGCTGATTTTTCTTTGCAGCACCAAGCATCTGTTTCCAACATGAGACACTTCCCAACTTTCCAGAAGAGTAGGGTAGGGTTTCATCTTCGAAATAAGAAAGCAAAGTTGTTCAAGAAAGCCTATGATTTTAGATTCAAATGCCAAAATATAAAACTATTTACCCACTTAACGTGCCTGAGGAGTTTGATCATTGAGACTAAGAGCTAGCTGGGGAGAAAAGAAAAAGAACTTGATGCTGAGCGAGGTGGCTCACACCTGTAATCCCAGCACTTCTGGAGGGCCAGGCAGGTGGATCACCTGAGGTTAGGAGTTCGAGACCAGCCTGACAAACATAGTGAAACCCTGTCTCTACTAAAAATACAAAATTAGCCGGGCATGGTGGCATATGCCTGTAATCCTAGCTACTCGGGAGACTGAGGCAGAGAATTGCTTGAACCCAAGAGGTGGTGATTGCAGTGAGCTGAGACTGCACCACTTTACTTTAGCCTGGGTGACAAGAGTGAGACTTTGCCTCAAAAAAAAAAAAAAAGTTGATAAAGGGGTTTGAGGATTGTGCCTCATTTTGCCCTTCCCAGTGCTTTGCTCGCTTCCAGCTGGAGGGAGTTGGAGGCTGCCCTCCTTTGCACTTCCCTGCTGTTGGCATTAGTAAAGTCGTGCTCTCCCTTTCTTCTCTCTGTCTACAGAGCAGCTCTCTCTGCACTGGTAGGCATTGCTGTTTCCAAAAGGATGTGGTTTCCCTGTACTCTGTGGTCTCACCCTGACATCATGGCATCTCTTGCAAGAATTTAAATTAAAACTTAAGTCACCAAGTTGTGATTTCAGAAAGAACTTCTTTGTTGTTTTAGCGGAAAAAACCCATCCAATTGGATGATATTCCTTCCACTGGTTCTCTTGAAATTAAGGAATTTGATAACATAATTTATTCCTCTATTTGCCAAAATTCTGAGCCGCAAACACCTGGAGAAAAAAGAACACATTAGGAAATTATTGGCAGACCTGGTGGGAGAAGTCAGGTAGGTGGTAACCTTTTGAGACTGACTTCTTTCACTTATTCATTCATGTTTTAAGGTGTATGAATACTTTTTAAAAAATCTCCAAGTAGTGTTTCATTGTATGGATGTACTACAATTTATGTATCCATTTGTTCTTGAGAGATGTTTGAGTTGTTTCCAGTTTGGGGCAATTACAAATAGAGCTGCTATAAACCTGTCTGCATTTTATTTTTTTAATTTTATTTTTTCATTTTTTTATTTTTTGGAGACAGCCTCACTCTGTTGCCCAGGCTGGAGTTCAGTGGCATGATTTTGGTTCATTGCAACCTTCGCCTCCTGGGTTCAAGCGATTCTCCTGCCTCAGCCTCTGAGTAGCTGAGATTATAGGCATGCACCACCATGCCCAGCTAATTTTCTGTATTTTTAGTAGAGGGGCGGTTTCACCATGTTGCCCAGGCTGGTTTTGAGCTCCTGAGCTCAGGCAATCTGCCTGCCTTAGCCTCCCAAAGTGCTAGGATTACAGGCTTGAGCCACTGTGCCTGGCCTCTTCATCTTGATTCGTAAAACTGTAATGCAATATTCGCAGACCTGGGAATCAGGGAAAAAAAAAACAGTAATGCAAAGCCAGGTGCATTGAACCCTGATCACACCACTGCACTCCAACCTGTACGACAGAGCAAGACCCTGTCTCAAACACAAACAACAAACAAAAACCTGTAATGCTGTTGATTTCAAAGCTACTTTGTCCGCAGAAATATTAAACAGTCATTTGTGATACTTTACTTTTTATTTCAAGAGTTGACTCAAGACCTGAACACAGTGGCTCACTCCTTTAATCCCAGCACTTTGGGAGGCTGAGGTGGGCGGATCACCTGAGGTCAGGAATTTGAGGCCAGCCTGACCAACATGGCGAAACCCCATCTCTACTAAAAATACAGAAATTAACTGGGCATGGTGGCACACGCCTCAGTCCCAGCTACTTGGGAGGCTGAGTAGGAGGATCACTTGAACCTGGGAGGCAGAGGTTGCAGTGAGCCCAGGTTGTGCCACTGCACTCCAGCCTGGGTGACAGAGAAAGACTCTGTCTCAAAAAAAAAAAAAAATGTATTCAAGTAGTTTCAGGGGAAGACTTAAGCATTTTTTTTTTCATTATCACTTTTATTTTTAGGAAATCTAGGTATAACTACTTACATTAAACAACCAATAGGTTGGTGATAGATTATAAAGCCAGCACTGGAGTCAGTTGAATGACTGTATATGAGGAAGTTTCACATTTCATTCTGCTGTGTCAGTTGGGGGCTTCCCAGTGAAACAGAACAAATAGGATGGATGGATAGGTAGATGGATAGAGGGATAGAAAGACAGACAGACAGAAGGTAGAGAGATAAATAGAAGACAGGTAGATAGATGGAGAGATACACAGACAGATAGGCAGAGGCAGACAGATAGAGACAGACAGACAGACGGAAAGACAAATAGACAGATATAGACAGACAGACAGACAGATGGATAGAGTTCTGCATTGGATTGTGTCCTCCCCAAATTCATGGGTTGAGGCCCTAACCCCAGTGTGTTTGTATTTGGAGATAGGGCCCTGAAGGACGTGATTGAGAGTAAATGAAATCATAAGGGTGGGTCCCTAACCACCAGGACTGCTGTCCTTGTAAGAAGAGGAAGAGGCACCAAGAGACCTCTTGCTCTGCAGGTACACAGAAGAAAGGCCACGTGAGGACTCAGCAAGAAGTAGATATCTACAAGCCAGGAAGAAAGGCGTCAACAGACACCAACCCTGCCAGCACCTTGATTTTGGACTTCAAGCCTCCAGAACTGTGAAAGAATAAAATTCTGTTGTTTAAGCCACCCAGTCTGTGGTACTTTGTATGGTAGCCCTAGCAGACTAACATAGAGAGAGATTTATTTTAAGAAACTGGCTTCTGCAACTGTGGAACTTGGCAAGTCACAAATCTGTAGGACAGGTTGGCAGTCTGAAAACTCAGGCAGGATTTCTACATTACAGTCTTGAAACAGAATTGCTTATTCTCTGAAAGCCTCAGGGCTTTGCTCTTAAGGCCTTCAACTGATTGGATGAGGGTCACCTACATTATCAAGGGTAAAAATCTTCTTTATTTAAAGTCAACTGATTTAAATGTTAATCACATCTACAAATTATCTTCACAGCAACAATCAGACTAGTGTTAGACCCAACTACTGGGCACCATAGCTTGGCCAAAGTGATACATAAAATTAACCATAACTCTGTCCATCAAATTTTAGGAAAGCTCTCATTTGGAACACGAATAAGAGATCTCTTCCTCCACACTGCTGCCCTTTGTCATCTTGCTTTGTAGATAGAGAGAAAAAATTAATTGATAAAGAAAGGGACTGTTTTTCCAGTCAGCCCAGCAAGGTTTGAACAAGCATTGGATCCAGAATCCATTTCTTTGAACCCAGCAACCTTACCGCAGAGATTTGAGAAATCCTCCCTCTACATTCAACTCAGTAAGACTGATCTCTTTGCACAGTGAGCTTGCAATGGCATGACGCAGTTTAAGAACACTGAAGTTCACAAACATGATAATGTCTTATTGATTGATTGAATGTCTGCCAAGTACCAGGCATTGTTCTAAGCACTTATCATAGAATTTAATCTGTTAATTATATCATTTAATCCTCAGAATAGCTTTTGTGCAGTAGACACAATTTCTACCACCTTTTACAGATGAGCAAAGAGGCACTGAGAGTTAAGCAGGGTAGCAGAGTGTGATTTGCATCCAAGCAGTCTGCTCGGAGCTCAGAGCTCTGCCGCTCACCTATCACAGCTTAGCACATTTCACAGACTGTGACAAGTCAAGGCAAAGCACTTCAAGTTCACATAATAGTTATAAATCAAGTAAAAGGTGGCTTGAAGCAGAACAGATTTACATGTGATCTGAAGATAGAAAGGTAAAATTAAAAAAAATAATTTTGACTTGGTGTATTAAAAAGTATTTGATACATTGGCAGCCAGAAATAGCCAAGGGATGGCATGGATTTGTTAAAACGAGGCTTTTGGTATCCTTCAGGGTAGTTTTTAGGTACAGAGGAACGATGCAGGTGTTCATTTTGGCTTTATGTTTTAATTTTCAACATATGAAACATACAAATCCTAAATGTATATTTTCATTAGTTATTAAAGTTCAGGCTATAGATCTCATTTTCCTTATCATACATCTAGCATACTCAGGAATCAGATTTAAGAGATCTTTGGATAATACTTGGTCCTATTTACTAAGTTCATTAATTTTTTTTTTTGAGACAAGGTCTCGCTTTGTCACCCAGGCTGGAGTGCAGTGGTGTGATCCTGGCTTAATGCAGCCTCAACCCAGGGCTCAAGTGATCCTTTCACCTCAGCCCCCCAAGTAGCTGGCACTACAGGCACTCACCCCCCCAGGGGGGGCTTTTTTTTTGTAGAGACGGGGTTTCACCATGTTGCCCAGACTGGTTTCCAACTCCTGAACTCAAGCGATCTGCCTGCCTTAGCCTCCTTAAAGTGCTAGGATTGTAGGTGTGAGCCACTGTACTCAACCTAACTTAGTTAACTAACCGTCTCTCAACCTTTTCAACCACATTTATAAATTTGATGTAACTGATTTCCTTTTTTTTTTTTTTTTTTTTTGAGATGGAGTCCGCTCTGTCACCCAGGCTGGAGTGCAGTGGTGCAATCTCGGGCTCACTGCAACCTCCACCTCCCCAGGCTCAAGCAATTCTCCTGCCTCAGCCTCCTGAGTAGCTGGGATTACAGGTGTGTGCCACCATGCCCGACTAATTTTTGTATTTTTAGTAGATACGAGGTTTTGCCACGTTGGCCAGGCTGGTCTCGAACTCCTGACCTCAGATGATCTGCCCATGTCAGCCTGGAATTACAGTCCTGGGATTACAAGCATGAGCCACTGCACCTAGCCAGTGATTTCCTTTTAGAGTGCTTCTGCTTTCTTTTTCAATAACAAAAATTGTTTCAACACCAAAAATTCCTGAAAACTAAATAATTATAGGAAATCTAACAAATTAAATTTGCAAAAGAAGAAAAACAAATTCTCTCTTAAGCATTTCAACATGGTAAATAAACTAATTAAGTCTTAATTCTTAAATCACTAGCCTAAATTAAGTATTGACTTACACCTTTTAACTTTGTGTTACACATCTGACCTTCTTAACAGGTCAAATTCTCTTAACTATATTAAGAACATAAAATACCAAATATGCACGTATCCCTACTTAAACAAATTTCATATTAATACTATGGTATGGTTTTGAGTCTCACAAATTTTCAGTACTTAATTATAAATCTTCTCCGACCAAAAGATACATACCTGAATGGTTGTGGTGGTTCATGCCTTTAATCTCAGCACTTTGGGAGGCTGAGGTGGAAGGATCACTGGAGGCCAAGACTTGGAAACCAGCCTGGGAAACATAGTTAGACCCCACCCATCTCTACAAAAGATGACTTAAAAAACTCTCCAGGGCTGGGCGTGGTGGCTTACACCTGTAATCCAAGCACTTTGGAGGCCAAGGCAGGTGGATCACCTGAGGTCGGGAGTTCAAGACCAGCCTGACCAACACGGTGAAGCCCATCTTTAAATAAATAAATAAATAAAAATAAACAATTCTCCAGGCATGGTGGCATGTGCCAAGGTTGCCAAGTAGTAAAAGGAGAGACGACTCAGTACAGTGGCTCACCAGCATTTCATGAAACTGGTAATCCCAGCAGTTTTGGGGGGCTGAGGCAGGTGGATCACCTGAGTTCAGGAGTTTCAGATCAGCCTGGCCAACATGGCCAAACCCAATCTCTACTAAAAATACAAAAATTAGCTGGGTGTGGTGGTGCGCGGCTGCAACCCCAGCTACTCCAGAGACTGAGGCAGGAGAATCGCTTGAAACTGGGAGGCGGAGGCTGCAGTGAACTGAGATCACACCACTGCACTCTAGCCTGGGTGACAGAACAAGGCCCTGTCTGGAAAAAAAAAAAAAAATAGTTACCATGCTGGTTAATCGAGGCCACAAAGGTCAGGGACTTTAGGCAAACGTGAGTCCCGATGCTGCAGGGATCTGGAATGATTCTTCCCACTGCCAATCGTCACGCGGATCCCTTTCTACAGTTGTTTTGTCAATGACCCCCAAAACCTGAAGAAGTGTTGCTACACAACAGTTATACACATTGCTTAATTCAGACACCTTCAGTAGGGATCCATAAATATGTAAATCCTTGCTCCTTTCAATATGAAAGAATTTAAAACTTGTTTGAATCTCACTTTCTCTTATTTTTCAGACCACACACAACTTTTGTGGATATTTAAAATTCTATATATTTGGAATCTGGATAGAACACATGCACCCTTTTTTTTTTTTTTTTTTTTTTTTTTGACATGGCTTCTTGCTCTGTCACCCAGGCTGGAATGCAGTGGCTATTGGTCAGGGGCTCACTGCAACCCGGGTGACAGAACGCACCCCACGTTCAAGCCATTTTCGTGCCTCAGCCTCTCACGTAGCTGGGATTACAGGCATGTACCAGGACACCCAGCCAATTTTTGTATCTTTTATATAGACAGGGTTTCACTATGTTGGCCAGGCTGCTCTCAAACTCCCAATCTCAAGTGATCTGCCTGCCTCAGCCTCCCAAAGTGCTGGGATTAGAGGCATGAGCCGCTGCCACAGCAGATGCACCAACTTTTGACGGTATTCTGACTGAGGCCTGCCAAGAAGCCTGCCTGAGTATGAGGTGCTTGCCCTAATACCCCGAATTCATTAAGGCGACCTCATTAGGAAAAAGGCTCTTTGCAGATGTGATTAACTGAAGCATCTTAACATGGGATCTTCCTGGCTGATCTGGGTGGGCTCTAAATTCAAGAAGTGTCCTTTCCTATAAAAGACAGAAGAAGATGCAGCCACAGAGGAGAATGACACTATGAAGAGAGGGACAGAGACTGGAGTGACGCAGCCACAAGCCAAGGAACAAGCCAAGGAACAAGATGGGATTCTCCCTGATACGGTTTGGTTCTGTGTGCCACCCAAATCTCCTGTCGAATTGTCACCCTCAGTGTTGGAGGAGAGGCCTGGTGGGAGGTGATTGGATCATGGCGGGGAGGGGTGCGGACGTCCCCTTTGCTGTTCTCATCATTAGTTCTCATGAATCTGGTTGGTAACAGTGTGTGGGACCTCCCCTTTCCCTGTCCTCCCCCTGCTCCAGCTTCCCCTTCCCCTTCCACCGTGACTGTAGGTCTCCTGAGGCCTCCCCAGCCATGCTCTACAGCCTGTGGAACTGAGTCAATTAAACCTCTTTTCTTCATAAATTACCCAGTCTCAAGTAGTTCTTTTCCTTCTCTTTCTCTCTTTCTTTCCCTTCCTTCTTTCTGTCTCTCTCTCTCTTTCTTTTTCGGAGTGGAGTTTCACTCCTGTTGTCCAGGCTGAAGTGCAGTGGTGCCATCTCGGCTCACTGCAACTTCCACCTCCTGGGTTCAAGTGATTCTCCTGCCTCAGCCTCCTGAGTAGCTGGGATTACAGGCATGCACCACCATGCCCAGCTAATTTATTTTAATTTTTATTTTTTATTTGTAGTAGAGACGGGGTCTCACTATGTTGGCCAGGCTGGTCTCAAATTTATAAACAGCCTGCCTAGGCCTCTCAAAGTGCTGGGATTACAAATGCAAGCCACTGCATCCGGCCACAGACAGTTCTTTATAGCAATGGGAGATTAGACTAATCCATTCCCCTGGAGTCTTCAGAGGGGCACGCCCTGCCAGGCTTCCAGTCTTCAGAACTGTGAAAGAATATGTTGCTGTTGTTTTAATCCACCAAGTTTCTGGTCATTTGTTATGACAGCCACAAGAAATTAATATAGGTCTGGTCAGGTGCATACCTGTGTGAAGCTGGTTCAGGCGTGTATATCACGAATCTTAAAATGCAAGTATAGGCTGGGCACGATGGCTCATGCCTGTAATCTCAGCACTTTGGGAGGCCGAGGCAAGTGGATCACTTGAGGCCAGGAGTTCAGGACCAGCCCAGCCAACATGGTGAAACCCAGTCTCTATTAAAAAATACAAAAATTAGCCAGGTGTAGTGGCACACGCCTGTAATCCCAGCTGCTCGGGAGGCTGAGGCATAAGAATCGCTTGAATCTGGGAGGCAGAGGTTGCAGTTAGCTGAGATTGTGCCACCACACTCCAGCCTATACTGGAGTGACAGTGTGAGAACCTGTCTCAAAATTTTTTTCAAAAGTTGCAAGTATAGAAATCCAATATGAGAAATAAAAATGAAATCCTAAGCCTCCCAAGCAACTGACGGTCTCCAGACTCCCCCCACTCCCCACCTACCCGGCCAAGGGGACTCCAGAGAAACCTGGAAAACTGAGTTTCTGGTCATGATGGGATGGAAGGTCAGACACGCCTCATTATAGCCCTCATGCCCTGGATAACCACCATGAGACTTTCTTTCCTAGGGGGCTAAGAAGAAACCAGCCCTTGGGAAAGAGGCTTCATTCCTGATATCAACCAGCCACCTGATGCTGCCCTGCCCTTATGTGGTCTGGACAAAAGAACTGACTGGCACCCTTGATAAGAGGACTACTGGCCACGGAGTGGTTAGATAAGACACTACTGGCCATGAAGTCATTCTGGTCGGTCTCCAGGGGCTGCACAGTGAGGATTTTCAAGTCCTCTGCTTCATCTTTTGATGTCAGAGGCCTGAAACAGCCACCCTCAGATCACACTAACCCAGGTCCCCAGGAAAGACACGGAGCTTGATTACACACGCGCATATTTCTCCTCTCATCAATATTCAGGGCTCCTCCCATAGCTCATCAAATGTGTGTATTTGGCCACTTCATTCAGCATAAACTCCTGTCTTGTTCTTCTGCCCCTGGAAGGGTCTGTTTCTGGCTTCTGGCCAGAGGCTCTGCTTCTCAGCCTGTCACAATGGCCGCCCTGCAGGGTGCACCCCTTTCTGAGAAGAAACCTCTTCTTTCCAAGTTTATGAACCTCGTCATTCCTCAGTTGACAAGTGACATTATCTGAAATGTAAAAGGGACACTTTTTTAATTGCATTTTAGGTTTTGGGGTACATGTGAAGAACATGCAACATTGTTGTATAGGTACACAAATGGCAGTGTGATTTGCTGCCTTCCTCCCCTTCACCTATATCTGGCA